AATCTATTAGATTTAAAAATTAACAATTCAACATTTTAATGGATTCATCATATTTGTTTCTTTTTCGTCCTATATTCTTAATCAAGAATGTGACAGTAGCCATGGCTGCCTCCGATAGCTGTTCTGGTGGTCGGTCTCCTGTCAATTGCTACCATTTTCAATAACAAAATATCACAAAAATTGAACTCTTCATTTATTATTATTATTTTTGCATAGAATCTGGTTTTGATATTAGTTTTTCTAAAACAATAAAGTTAATAGAAAATATATTGTTGCAATCCTACCTACCACTATTTATTCTTTTATTTTTACCCACATTTGTTTGCAAAAACTAATATTGAAATCATATTCTACGCAAAAAAAAAAAATAATAAGTGAGGATTTGAATTTCTGTAAAAAAATTTTAACGAAAAATGATGGCGGCCAACCGCAGCATCGTTTGCACACAGGGCAAAGGTAGCCATGGTTGGTGTCGCATTCTTGATTAGGAAAATAAGGCACAGAAGAAAAACAAATAAAAGATGAGAGGATTTAAACTCAAAACCTTAATTACCTGTTATTAGGTTGAGAGCTCCTCGCGGTTTTTGTTGGTTCCGGTTTATTGTTTTGCTTGCGAGCAATCTAGAAAAAAAAAAGCTTATTGCAACCAATGTTTTAAAAACCGGACCGTTAATTGAACCGGTGAATTGAAAGGGTCGAGGTTCAATCGGTTGGACCGATTCAACCTCGGTTCAATAAATTTTTTAAAAAATAATTTATATAAATATATATATGTACAAAATAAGACATGTAATGGACTAATTTAATATTTTATATGATGAAAAGTTTACTATTTTTTAATAACTTGGATTTTTAAAAATAAAATTTTTAAATTATAAGTTAAAACAAATAAATTTCATCTCAATTTCAATTATATCTAAATCCAACCCCAAAATATCACAATATTTTGAAATTATACAAAATTCATGTATCTGAAAATTTAGATATTATGAATTTAAATTTTAATTTACGTTTTGAGATTTAGATATTGCAATTTAAAAAAGAAAATTTGGAGTTCGAAGGAAATTAAGAAAATTGAAAATAGAAATGTAAACTTGATAAGAAACAAAAAATAAGATAAAAGTGAGTGGTTGTGGCATTAAATAATTTGGGTTAAAAATTTTTTTTTTTAACTTTTTTCAATTTAATGGACAAAAACAAAATTAAAAGATGGAAGAAAATATTAATAAATTAAAAATAAAGAGGTTTGATTAAAAAGGGAGTGACAAAAGAAAAGATGATAGAGAGAGAGAGAGAGTTGAAAATTAAAAAGAAAGAGTCATGAGGGGATGAGATTTTGTAAGAAAAATGGAAAAAAAAAATACGAATATTTGTTTTATATAAATAAGTTATAAAAAAAACTAATAAGATGTGATGGTGCAACGGTTAATACATTGGTCTTTTATTACAAAAGTCTTGGGTTCGAATCTTGATTGTTGCATTTTGCAAAACTTAAAATAAAAAATAAAAAAAAAGGGAAAGCTGAAAACCGAAAAATCGCCGGTTCAATCCGGTTCGGCGGTTTTCACGGTTCAACCGATCTTTGACTGGGTTTCTAGCAAAGTCAACAATGTCATTGAACCGGACCGGTGCCATGGTCGGTTCGCGGTTCAACCGGTCGAACCGGCCGATCCGATCCGATTTTCAAAACATTGATTGCAACTTTGCACGGCCTTCGAACTAAGCAGTTCACAGGCCATGTAACTTCTAAACTTCATACTCGCTCGACGCTGCACAATTAGCATATCTCTAAATCAATATATATCCTTACATATACATAAGAAGCACTTTGTCTTTCTACAGTGGTGCTTTTTTCAACCGCAACTCTGCTTCCACGGCTTGTACTTTCGGCTGCTGCTAAGAAACACTTTGTCTTTCTACAGTGGTGCTTTTTTCAACTGCAACTCTGCTTCCACGGCTTGTATTTTCGGCTGCTGCTCTTTGCTTCAAACTCTTGTACATTCATTGAAATGGGCATTCAGCCGTGCTTTTTTCAACCGCAACTCTGCTTCCACGGCTTGTACTTTCGGCTGATGCTCTTTGCTTCAAACTCTTGTACATTCATTGAAATGGCATTCAGCACGCGCGAATTTGGATTGTTTTTTGTTCTGATGCTTGTGGACTTCGCTTTTATACTTTCATATTTTATATATATATAGCTTCTATACTTTTATATATATATATTATATATATAAGTACATATATATATAAGTAAACAAATATCTATATGTTTATCTATATCTATGCACTAATAAGTACTACATAGTACATATAAGTACTTTTTTTTATATATATAAATATCTGTGATTATAGATAAGTTTCGCTTTCATATGTTTGAATACTTTTTAAAAATATCCTATGAACAAATTTTTAAAACACTGCCAAAAATACCTAATTTAAACGGACATACATAGATATATATATAGCTAATTTAAACGGGATTTATATATGTCTTTATATATATATATATATATCAAAAAATAAGTACGTGGATAATTATAATTATAGATAAATCTGAGTATTATGTTATTTTTTGACTCTTGTATATTATTTTTTTATATACAATAAAAATCTTTAGAAAATATTCTAAAAGATAATCTAAAAATATTCTAAAAGATAATCTTTACAAAAACATTCTTAAAAATTTTTTAAAAAACACCCCTAAAAGTAACTATATTAAACACCATTTGTATGTATATGTATGCGTTTATATATACATATAAGTACTTTTTTTATATATATAAATATCTGTGATTATAGATAAGTTTCGCTTTCATATGTCTGAATACTTTTTAAAAATATCCTATGACCAAATTTTTAAAACACTGTCAAAAATACGTAATTTAAACGGACATACATAGATATATATATATAGCTAATTTAAACTAGATTTATATATGTCTTTATATATATATATATATATCAAAAATTAAGTACGTGGATAATTATAATTATAGATAAATCTGAGTATTATGTTATTTTTTGACTCTTGTATATTATTTTTTTTATATACAATAAAAATCTTTACAAAATATTCTAAAAGATAATCTAAAAATATTCTAAAAGATAATCTTTACCAAAACATTCTTAAAATTTTTTTAAATAACACCCCTAAAAGTAACTATATTAAACACCATTTGTATGTATATGTATGCGTTTATATATACATATAAGTACTTTTTTTATATATATAAATATCTGTGATTATAGATAAGTTTCGCTTTCATATGTCTGAATACTTTTTAAAAATATCCTATGACCAAATTTTTAAAACACTGTCAAAAATACCTAATTTAAACGGACATACATAGATATATATATATAGCTAATTTAAACTGGATTTATATATGTCTTTATATATATATATCAAAAATTAAGTACGTGGATAATTATAATTATAGATAAATCTGAGTATTATGTTATTTTTTGACGCTTGTATATTATTTTTTTATATACAATAAAAATCTTTACAAAATATTCTAAAAGATAATCTAAAAATATTCTAAAAGATAATCTTTACCAAAACATTCTTAAAAATTTTTTCAAAAACACCCCTAATAGTAACTATGTTAAACACCATTTGAATGTATATATACACCATTTGTATGTATATGTATACGTTTATATATATGTATATATATAAAAAATAAGTATCATAAATTAAATATAAGTACATAGATAAATGTGATTGTAGATAAGTCCCACTTTTATATATTGTGTATATATTGTGTATATGACTAATAATCAATATAATAAGTATTATAAATTAAGTATAAGTACATAGATAAGTGTGATTGTAGATAAGTTCCACTTTTATATATGTTAGAAATATATAAACACGTGTGTATGAAGAAGTACAAGCTATACAGATACATAAATAATTGTGATCTCACAGAAATAGATATGCATGATTTGAACTCAAATACTTTTTTAAATTTACAGTCTAGACCCTGCTATGTAGCAATTTAATATGTATGCTATGAATCTGAAGAAGGACAGAAAGGACTTTTTGTTATGACCTGATACTCATCTTTACCTAGCTGTCGACCACTGCATTTTCTTGTTTACCAAATTCTCCTGGAGTTGCTTTTATTGTGGACTGGTCTTCCTTCATTTTTTATATAATAAGACATATATACATGGTCTTCATCCAACGTCTTCTTTTATATGCTTTGCTTTCCAGGTTGTATGAAAATCTCCTTAGCAATTCTCTTCAACTAAATATCTCAAACACTAGGTACTGGAATGTTACTTGTTTCACAATTTTTTTTTTAATATCTTCTGATATCATTCTGATGTTTTGTTGTACTCATTTCCTTATTGATAAAAAGATCTGTGTTTACTGACTTCAGATCCTTTTTTTAGCTTGCGAGAAGTCTGCCTCATAACTCTGTGCTTTGACTACCCATGGAGGTATTGCCCCAGTAGCTCCTTTAACATATTCCTTAGCTTATTCAAAGTATTTCGGAATCACTTTTGTACTTTCTGCTTTGGTATCGTTCACTTATTTCATGCAACGAACTATGCTCTCTTCCCTGCATGCATATATCGACAATAAAAATCAGTTGTTTTAGCTAAGAAACATTATGAAAACCTCTAAATTATACGCACAAAACGATGATCTCAAAATCTGTCAGAAAAAAAACGAAAGAAATAAAAAAGCAAGAGAAAAATTTGCTGCTCTTTCTGCGGAACAAAAGGAAGCTCATCGAAGAAAAAATAGAGAAGCGTATCACAGAAGAAAGATAACCAAACTACTGTCCAAGCCGCTTGATCCAGAATCTGTACAGCCTACCAAAGAGTCGAACATCAAACCACTTCTCAGACCAGCCAGTACCAAGAATAATAATGATGGTACGTATATACTCCAACACAAAGCTTACAAACATTTTTAGTTTGTAGTTTCTGTGACTAAAAATATGAAACAATGAAAATATTTATTATTATACACAGGAGTGCTAATGCCACAATTAACTGAGCAGCATCTTCATGACACAGGTATATATCTTGAGGTTGACCTACTTTTCTTTTCTCATATTATTACATTCCTATTCAATTTTCATCTCTTAAACATTCGTCTTCTCTTGTTATACTTATATTGACGTTTAAAGCCCCAAAAATTGCAGTTGCAAAATATGATAGAAGTACACTTCCTGGAACATCTGATACAAATGTCACCACAGCTTTTTTTTTCCTAATCTTCAGTTACCTGGCTCCAAGTATCAGAGTAACAATGGTAAACTTCAACAAAATATCCCTTTGTATCAATGTTAGAGTAACAATGTTTTCCATATTTCCTATTTTTTTTCCTTACTGTTTGCTTTAGAAATGCATCATACTGGTTTGTTTAGACTTAACTTTGGAAATATCCTGTTTCTTCTCCACATGACACACACACAAATTGTTACCTGCATTTACAAGGTCTATCAATTCACGTAGGCAATCAATGCAATCACGATAAACACCCAATTCTTGTTGATATCCAAAACTATCATAATAAGCTATTTACTTTTTTCTATGCCACAGATAATCAATTCTGTGTATCCCACCCTGGATCAAATCTCAAGAATAGTCTCTTCTGCTTTTCTACTTATGAAGAAGGTCTTCATTTCTATCATCTTCGTGTAAACATAATTGGTTCTGTGACAATTGTTATTTCAGCTAGATAACTGAACTTTTCTTAATTTTCTAAAACCTAGGTAATTCTTCAGGCACCAACCACAAGCATATATGCTCGGATAGTGGTGCAGAGCATGACAAAGGTCTGAAACTACTGCAAATAACTTGTTCTTTAATTCTTTCAACCTACCTTCAGCACAAAAAATAACTGTTCAATATATGATGCTTTACTATATTCTTCTCACTCTTTTACTATCATTTATTTACATTGCATGAACAGCTGAATCCTTCATGTGTATGAACTGCTTCAAATTTCTCCCCCAAAACATAGAAGATGCTCCAGGTAGTTGACACTGTTAACAACTTTAGATATACAAGATTCTACTGAACCGTATTCAACTCCTACATATATTTCTTTTCTTTACAATACCATTGATTGCACAACTTTGGCTTTCTAGAATTGTTGGCATTTGCAACAGAATATCAAATTAGCCAACAATGCTCAAAATCTATTGCTAAAACACATAAAGGTACATATACAACCTCAGTTATCAATTTTCATCATCTAATGATCATTAGATTAAGCCTCTGTATACTAGAGTCAATTATGTTCTGTTAACTTCACACAGGCAACAAACGTTCAAGGTCAGCAAGAACTCAGAAACCTCACAACAAAGGTACAGAAACAAAAAGTCTTATTAATGTAGCATGATATTGATTCAATACTTTTTTGTCATTATTTTTTTTATATTCAATAATTATTATTACATTCATTGTACTGTAGGTGGAAAAATTCCAGATGGAATTGAAGCATTGAAATGCATCAGCAATGAACTAGATATACTGGCTCCCAAACCAAATTGCAGCTACTGCGAAGCAAAAAAACTTCACTCTGAAACACCAAATTTCTGCTGCTCTGCTGGTCAGATAGTTCTCCAACAGAACAAATTTTCAGATATTCTCATCGAACTATATACTGGTCATTCTGCTGAAGCTCTTTCTTTTAGAACATATGTCAGAACATATAATAACATGTTTGCCTTCACCTCTTTCGGAGTACATTATGACAAATCCCTATGCAGAAGAACTAATGGTATCTACACATTCAAAGTTCAGGGACAAACCTATCACTTCATCAAGGATCTCATTCCACATGAGCAGAAAACTGTTTATTTGCAGCTATATTTTCATGATACGGAGCACGAGCTAGAAAATAGACTGGCTACATCAGAGAAGCTAACAGAGAGTGCGGTGAAAAAAATTATGCATGTCATGGAATCCAACCCGTATGCCTCTTTTCTCTGAAGCTTAAAAAATGTTCCAAATCTTGACTCATATCAAATTGTCTTAAAGTCTCACTCAGAGAATGATCAGAGAGTTTGGAATCAACCAACTGCATCCCAAATTGCAGCCTTATGGGTAGAGGGCCAAAAATCTGGAAAAAGATACAAAAGGCACATCCAAATCTATACTAAAGAAGGCAAAGATCATCTGGTGCAATATTATTATGGATGCTATGATCCATTGCAGTATCCGCTGCTGTTTCCATTTGGAGAGACAAGATGGCATCCTGGTATAAAAGAATAGCACCACATAATGCAAACAAAAGAAAAAGGGCCAACAGAACAGGCAACTGCACTCCTGTTTCTACTAATTGCACATCTGCAGAAGAACTAATAGGAGCTGAACACCAAGGTATACCAAAAATTATAGTAAATAATTATATTTCCCAATATACAGTTACTATATCATTAGATTGATATTGAATAACATGTCCTACAGCTTTTGACAATCCTGAAAACAATAAAGAGTTTGTATCTATGCGTGAGTATTACGCATACAAGTTGCAGATGCGAAAAAAGTATACTCCAGGCATACTCAGCACCGGCTGGCTACTTCAACAATATGTCATCGATATGTACATCAAAATAGAATCCCAGAGGCTTGACTATTACAGAAGCAGACAACAGTTAATAAGAAGAGAGGAACTTCAAGGCATAATGGACAGTGTCATCGCAGGACATTGCCAAGGATCCAAAATAGGTCAGCGAGTTATTCTTCCAGCATCATTCATAGGTGGTCCTCGCGACATGAGAAGAAGATATGTTGATGCTATGACTCTTGTGCAAAAATTTGGCAAACCAGATCTATTCATCACTATGACATGCACTCCTTCACGGCCTGAGGTGAAAAAACACATGCTCCCTACTGATGAAGGCCATAACAGACCAGACTTATTGGCTCGAGTTTTCCATGCTAAGCTTGATCTTCTAAAGGAGCAGCTCTTTAAGAAACAAATATTTGGATCAGTCGCAGCTTATACCTATGTTGTTGAGTTCCAGAAACGTGGTCTACCGCATGGTCATTTCCTCATAATCCTAGAGACAGCTTCAAAACTTTATTCCACTGAATCTTATGATAAAATCGTCAGCGCAGAAATTTCAGATATAACAGCAAATCGACATTTATTCAGTATGGTTTGAAAGCACATGATCCATGGTCCTTGTGGAGCACAAAATCCAGATAATGTTTGTATGCAAGGAAATCAGAAGAAAAGATGTAGAAATAATTATCCAAAGCCATTTGCTCAGACAACCTTTCATGGGAAGAATGCGTATCCTACTTATCGAAGGAGAAATGATGGACAGAAAATAATGGTTCGTGGCCATCAACTTGATAACAGATGGGTTGTTCCACACAACGGATACTTATTGGCAAAATTTGATTGCCATATAAATGTCGAAATCTGCTCCACTGTGAAAGCTGTCAAATACATATACAAATACATATACAAGGGCCATGATAGGATTCATTTCAGAGTAAACTCAGATATTTCTGCTGAAGGCAATAATAACTCTCAATCTCTTCCAATCGACGAAATAAAGGACTTCCAATCAGCTCGATGGGTGTGTTCAGTTGAAGCAATTTGGAGAGTATTCAGGTTTAACCTCAATGAAATGCGCCCTTCTGTAATTCGTCTCCAACTTCATTTACAAAACTGTCAATCCATGACCTTCACACCTGATCAAGACCTACGGGATGTAGTCAGAAACAAATATAGAAAGAGAACCATGTTAACTGAATTCTTTTACATGAATTCTATGGACAAACTAGCTCAGCATCTTAACTGTACATACAAAGAATTTCCAGAGCAGTTCGTTTGGTACCCCGGAAGGAAGAAATGGGAACCTAGAAAGCAGAAGGACTGTATTGGCAGAATTGTCGCAGCAGGTATAAAAGAAGGAGAACGTTACTTTCTTCGACTACTCCTAACACATGTTAAAGGCCCCAAATCATTTGAAGACCTTAAGACTGTCAATGGAACATACGTCAACACATTTCGTGAAGCAGCAATTCTCAGAGGATATTTTGAATCAGATACATCACAAGAAGAATGTCTTGAAGAAGCCAGTTCATATCAAATGCCATACATATTGAGAAGGCTGTTTGCAACTTTGCTGGTACATTTCCCTCCGTTAAACGCTAGAAAACAATGGGAAAAATTTGAATATTGTCTATTAGAGAATTTCATGAAAATACCACAAATATCAACTGATGAAATACGACACAAGGTTCTGGAGCAGATAAACAATTTTCTTGAATCAATGGGAAGAGATATCAACTCATATGCTCTGCTTCCATATTCTCTAAATTTTAATGATCTCAACAAGAACATGAGGGACACAATAGCAGAAACAAGAATTACTGTGCTAGAGTCTGATCTCCAAAGAATTGATCAATTAAACAATGATCAGAAAATTGCCTTTGATATAATCACTGATGCAGTATTCCAGAAAAAACATGGATGCTTCTTTGTTGATGGACCAGGTGGAACAGGAAAAACCTTCCTCTATCGAGCATTATTAGCTGAGGCAAGATTCAAAGGATTCATTGCGCTGGCTACAGCATCATGCGGAGTAGCAGCTTCAATATTGCCTGGTGGAAGAACAGCTCACTCAAGATTCAACATACCACTAGATACAACAAAAAATAACAATTGCAGAATCAGAAAACAAAGTTCATCGGCAGAACTTCTGCAAAAAGCCAGTCTTATAATTTGGGATGAAGCTCCAATGACAAATAAAAGTTCAATAGAAGCTGTTGATAGATTACTCCAAGATCTAATGGACTTGAACGCCTTATTTGGATCCAAAGTAATCGTTTTCGGAGGAGATTTTCGACAGGTATTACCAGTTGTTCCTAAGGGAACAAAATCAGAATTCATTGATGCCAGCATAGTCAAATCATATATATGGCCACACCTCCATAAGCTTGAACTCACAAAAAACATGAGAGCAAGGGATGACCCAGAATTCATTGAATATTTGCTCTGTGTTGGAAATGGAACAGAACCTACTGTCAACAATGACTGTATACAAATACATCCATCAATGCTGATAAGATATACAAATGATGAAGATTCAATCAAAGAGCTGACTAGCACGGTATTCCCAGATTTGACGATATTCTCTTATGATGATTTCTCAACTACAAACCGTGCTATACTCACAACAAAAAATGAGTTTGTTGACCAGATTAATCAGCAGCTCATACACCATATGCCTGGTCGCATTCAAGAATACATTAGCCGAGACAAATGTTTTGAGGATTCTGACCAAACAATCATGGAGGACTTCATAAACGCCCTAACACCAAATGGATTTCCACCTCACAAGTTGATTCTGAAGCCAAACACTCCAATTATGCTGCTCAGAAACATTGATCCACCCCAAGGACTATGCAATGGAACAAGGCTCATCTGCAAATCTTTAAACTCCAATGTTATACATGCAACAATAAGTTGTGGAGAATTCACTGGCAAAGAAGTCTTCCTTCACAGAATCTGCTTTAGAATAGAAAATGATCCAGAGTCACCAGTATCTTTTGAAAGAATACAATTTCCTATTCGACCATGCTTCGCCATGACTATCAATAAGGCTCAAGGGCAGACCCTAGATTTTGTGGGAATATATTTACGTGAACCAGTTTTTTCACACGGCCAGTTATATGTAGCAATGTCAAGAGCCAAGAACAAGGCTTCAATAAAAATTCTGATCAAACCAGCTATATTCAGCACTGGAGAAGACTCAATAACACATAATGTAGTATATAGAGAAGTATTAGATTTGGCAAATGAATAGCTTCTTTATTTACTCATACGCATATGGTTATAGCATACACTAAGTATTCTATCCTCATATTCTTGCTCAGAGACTACCCATTACTTGCTCTTGTGTATTACAGGATGACAGAAAAGTCATAGGATTTGCTGAGATCGTTCCCGGACTTCAATACTGGACAACGATAGTCCAAGTCCTTGATAAGCAGAAACCCCTACTATCAAAAGCAGGAAATCGTTATCAGAAGCTTACTCTGATTGATAACCAGGTAAACACAGTAATAAATGCTGCCACAGAGTTATTATACCTCGCTGTACACATTCGCATTCTAATCAAAACCAAATTTCATGTATAGGGCATTACAGTGGCAGCTATGATATACAAGTCAGATATAGAATTCTTTCGCAACCACTTCAACCTCTACAGACGTTACATGGTATCCAATGCAAGAGTTGAATACACTCCGGCCGAATACCGTGCACATGAAAATCAATGCACCTGGTATATTGACAACTCTACTGTTGTCCAAGCAATCGATGAAGCAAGCTCTCCAGAAATTCCCCCTGTTTTCACATTCACACCTTTCAGAAGATTCTATCAACACATTGATGACACTTCAGACATAGGTAATGCACAAGAATTAAATTCAGCTTTATAATACTCAATACATGACTACTTAGTTTACCTCTGATAAATGACAAAAACAGATACCCTTGGCATTGTTGCACAAGTTCATCCGCGAAATCACAGAGGACCTACCCCAACCAGAGAAATTGTGATCATAGATAACAGGTAACTTGCATGATCTATCAACCAATGGCTTTACACACAACACAATCTTCATTTTAACATATATATAACAATGCCACATAAATATCTAACCAACTGTATTGCAGCTTCATGCCAGTCATCTTAACTCTGTGGGGTGACCATGAAACAGATGAAGGGCAAACTATTGCAAATATCATTCAATCAATGCCACTCATTGTCGCACTTCGAGTGAAAGTCTCATCCTATCACAGTAAGTAAACCACAAAATATTACAACTGAATCATTTATACAATCCATCATTTTTTAATACGCATAATGCTTCAACTTTGAATCTATCAACAAAATTTGGCTCAAGTATTTTGGTGAACCCTCCTATACAACAATGTGCCTCACTGAAACAATGGTAACCACTTGCTCCTATACAAACTCACCAACTGTTGTCATACAAATATCTTTAGAATGCTTTAATAGCTAATCATCACCATCTCCTTACAAGGGCTGTGGAAAACAAGTCACAAATCACTGAGCTCATCGCCCAAAAAGCATACTGTGATCGAGCAAAACTACTACCACAACCCTCAGAAGATGAGCTCTGCACAATCGCAGAGTTCCTAAAATTCCCAACGGTAAGATTCTACAACTTTGACATCCACACTTCTCTACTGATCACACCTGCCACAAAATTAACCAGCTGATAATATATTTTATTCTCAGAAAAAAGCTTACTGGATTCAAGGAACTCCACGATTTCTTAACAGAAGCCAACACCTATGGTATAATGCATGCTCAAACTGCCATAAATCATTCAGAGCAAAACCACTCTGGAAAATTATCTGCACTTCTTGCAATAAGCAAGTGGATGTCGTTCCAAGGTAATTAACAGAACAACAATATTATAAGTTATTCCACCACTCATTACTGGACTAATATCTAATCTCAATTGCAGATGCAGATTAACCATAGAGCTGGCTGACTACTCTGGAACGCTTACACTTGATCTATACGACAATGATGCAGAGCAACTATTGCCCTTCACTTTGCTTCAAATTCAAGAACTTGAAGACAAGGTCAGTACATCCCCAGCACTAAAATTTATTAACCTCCAGTTACACAATAATTGCTATACATTCTATCAACTAATACTCAAATATCAATATTACAGCATCAGCTCAACTACATTGCTATTGAAGAAGCTATTGAAAGCACCATTCTGACTTGCTTTGTGAAAAAATTGATGGGAAACCGTGGATCAGGGGACACAGAAAAATACACAGCCATAATAGTGCACAAAGCAAATGCTGCAGAAATCATATCAAAGACTTCGACAACTCCAGCATCAGTTCGTACTTCCTCTACATGCCCTTCCTCGACTCCAGGACCATCAACTGCAGAAGCTGTCCCAAAACCCACAACTTTTGACAGCAACTTATTCACAGCGCTCAAAATTACAGAGAGTCCAACTAAGAGACAGCACACTGATATGACTGATATGGAGCAGTAGAATGTAATACCTCTACTTAAACTTTTGATACACCTTTTGAACGTTTGATCATCAGCAATCTCCATCATTGTATATAACGTTGATGTAGCTA